CTCCACTGAGCATAGCAGCCAATGTGCATGGTTGTCAACATGAAAGTGCAAATGAAGTTACTGATAAAATCATGTGAATGCATGAAGTCATAAAAGTTAAATGCATGAATATTGAAAATTGACTGGCTCATTGAACTGCATTCTTAGCTATGCAGTGTTATCCACTAGTAAGTGCTATCCGTTAATAAATAATAATATTTGATGCAATCCCTGCCCTCATGGAGCTAATTTTCTAACTCTAGGGATATATGAAGAGTTGTGTAAAGATTTAAGGACATACAATCAATCTTTGTACTTCTATCCCAAGCACCTAGCCCAGAGCCTAGAATATAGCAGGTGCCTAATAAATGCTTGACTGATCTTCTACCTATGCTGACTCAGCTATCTCCAAAACCAGTTTTTCCTAAATTTTCCATTGGTTTTAGGTTTTTCTAAAGCCTTAAATAGTGATTCAGATTCAGATGTGTTTTATGAAGTCCTGTTCATTTTTCTTTTGCTAAAAAATGTCTGAGCCAGATAAATCTGTAAAGAGATGAATAACAGAAACTTTTAAAAACTGGCGTAAGGCCTCCTATTTCTGGCCATTTGGGGGACGTCTGGTTTCGTTGGCATGGGGAAGCTCCCTCCAGTTATATAGATCTGGTACTTATTTTGTCACTTAGAATTTTAGAGAATTGCCTAAAATGTAAGCTCCCTGAGGCCAAGGACTGCTTCATTTGCACATCCTAGTAGACAGACCACTTACTCTGAGAGGCGAGTGACTTGCTCAGGGTCACACAGACAGTAGGCATCAGGTCTTTTGGGATGTGAGGACAATTTTCTATCTACAATACCAGACTACTTCTTACTACAAGATTATTGTTTCCATTTTGCAGATAAGGAAACTAAGGATCAAGAGGTTAAGTAACTTGGCCAGAACACAGCCAGCATATGTCAGAGTCAAGACCCGAACCCAGGCCTATTGCCTTTAAGGCTAGGGGTTTCACCTCCACTACATCATATTGCCTTTCATCCTCTCTTAAAGTTTATAAGAAGCTTCCCTTGCGCCAGACCCCTGAAGTAACTAGGACACATATTACCTCCATTTATAGGAAAAAACAAAACAAAACCTGGCTTACAGGAGTTGGTCTGAACCAGAATTTGAACCCAGGTTTTCTCCCTGTGCAGAACATTTTCCATTATCCCACTAAATATGTACTTAAGTGCATTCAGGAAAGCTCAGGTTTAAGATTAAAACGAGGACAAAGCACTCTCAATATTATGACTTTTTTTATTGCAAATATTGGTGTAGACAACTCTAGACCGTTACGGTCTGTACCTTCAGTGAGGGTTTAAAAATGCGCCCTGTGGAGAATGGTTAGCTAGCAGACCAGCAGCCTCATTATCTTTCCATAATAGGATGAGGCCAAATTCAAATATGATAAAGTTGTTAAACAGAAGATAAGAAAATGGACTGAGTGGGGGGATTTTTCTTTTTTGATCATTAAGAAGTTGAGGTCCTAACGTGGCTTTGTTCACTATGTCAGGCTAATGATCCCCTCTGAAAGAGAAGAGAAAAGGGGGAAATTTCGTCAGATATGAAGAGAAATAATTAACAGCTTTTCATTCTGCCAGGGGAGCTGACGTCCCAATTAGTGACAAGAGGACATAAGCAGATTCTCTGGGCTTTGAAAAGAGGTTTTGTTGAAGGCCTATGAATTTGGGGGAAAGATGCCGCAGTAATATTCCTGTGGAAACTCACAAAGGAGAGATGTTTCCCTTACGAATCAATTGCATTCATTTGTCCATAGAGCTTATTAAAATAGTCATAAACTGCCCAAATGACTCCAATGGAAGCCGGGTCTGTCGGAGGGACAAAACATACATAGAAATTTAGTTATTGGGGAGGAATCAGGCTTTCACAGGTAACTGCTTAATTAGCTCAGAGTCTGCAAACCAGTTGCCCAGATCTGATAACAATAGTTTGCTGCTCCTGGCAGGAATATTGAAAATAATGTAATTTAACCTTTCCTTGTGAGTCCTGGGGGCTTGTTTCACAGCCAGATGCCAGGATCAGGGTCGACAAATAGGTGTGGTCATTTAAAATTCTTTGAGAAGAGGTTGACAGAAAAATATTTCATGAGATCAGTGGTTTCTCTCTCTGTTTTAACTAGACCACAGAGAGATGCTAGACTCCATTTTTGTCTCATATCCCCAACACCAATGTAGCACAGTATCTATGGAGCACATAGTAGGTGCTTAATACTTCCTTGGGGATTGATTCTTTCTTTAGCTGTCCAACTCCTAGAGTTGTTCTGACCCTCGTCCTGACATTTTGCCTTGGAAGGGAGGATACTCATTTCTTTTATCTGTTTTTCTATCTGTATCATTTTCTTTTATCAATTAAGTATCTATGCCTGTGCTTGATATTAGAATGTAAGCTCCCTGAAGTCAAGGACTGTTTCATTTGCACATCCTAGTAGACAGACCACTTACTCCTCTTTGCTGCTTCTGCTTGTCCTTTGTTCTCAAAGAGGACCATGACATCAGGGAGGTGATGCCATGGCATTCAGGTGAATTGGATTTAAGTGAGGGAGGGCTATGCAAAGTCACCAGTCATACTTTCTCCTCTGGAGCCATCTGGGTCCAGTGGCCAGATGAGTAACTCATTGAAAGGCTTTAATTTGATGGAGTCAGCTTTCTCTTCTGTAAGTGAAGAAGTTCTAGATCAGGGGTGGGGAACCTGCAGCCTTGAGGCCACATGTGGCCCTCTAGGTCTTCGAGTGCGGCCCTTTGACTGGATCCAAATGTCACAGAACAAAACCCCTTAATAAAAGGATTTGTTCTGTAGAATTTGGCTGCACCCAAGGACCTAGAAAGCCACCTGTGGCCTCGCCTATCCCTAGACTAGATGATATCTGAGATCTCTTCCTGCTCTAAAATCTATGCTCCCCTTGCTGGGCACTTAAATACTTACTGAACTGAATTTCATTAGCTGACTTACAAGATTAGAGAGACTGTGTAAGGCCATGGAAAGAAAGACCTGGGATGAGAAAACTCGGTTCATAGCCTAGCTCCAAAAACCTACTAGCTGTATGACTCTCGATAAGTCACTTAACCCCTCCCCACCTTAATTGCCTCCTGTTGGGAGTAAGCACAATAATACTTGCATTGCCTCCCTCCTTTGTAGATTCACTTTGGGGAAAATCTTAGTAACCCTTAAAGAGCTGTAGGAATGAAGTGTTTATGGGATTGTAAACTCCTTGTGAAAATATAGGGACTGCATGCTGCTTGGCTTTGTATCTTCCATAGTGCCCAGCACCATGCTTTGACGTAGCAGATGCCCAATAAATGTCAGCTAACTTCCACAGTTATATAAATAAATGAATATTTTAAATTGTGTGTGCATATGGATTTTGTAACCCAAATGCATAGAAGGGAATGATCTGAATCAATAAGTAAATGAAGGATAAAATCCTGTCCCTAAAAAAATTCAGCCCCCAAATTGTAATTCAAATGTATTGGACAGGCATATGTGAAACCAAGTGGGACAGTTGGGTTGAGAAGTCAATTGAAATTTAATTCCAATTCAAGCATCAGTTAAGTTCCTATTCTGTGTAAAGTGCTGTGATACCAAGACAAAATTATTATAACACTATTGTAAAGGCTTCTTAATTGCTTACTCAATCAACAACCCTCAATTCGTCCTTCAATCCAACAAATGTTTATTAGGCACCTACTATGTGCTGGGCACTCTGCTGTGCACTGGGTATACAAAGACAAGACCCACACAGTCCCTGCCTCCAAGGAGCTTACATTCTACTCAAGATGTAAATTCATTCATTAATTCAACAAACATCAATTATTCACCAGGCACTGATTGTTGCAGATGCTGAGGATATAAAGACAAAACCAAAGCAAGGCACTTCTCTGCCCCCAAGGGGTTTACATTCTACTGGGGAAAATATAAGATGTAAAGTGATAAGCAAATACAAGCTCATTTGAGGAAGAGGAGTGAGTACTAACAACTGTGGGGAGACAAAAGAGTCTCCTTAAAGGATAGAACACATGAATTGAGTCTCGAAGGAAAATGGGATATTTTTTAAGGTGAGAAGGAAGTGCGTTCTAGGCTAAGTAGACAGTTTGTGCAAAGAGATGGGGCATGCGTGGCCTTTCAAGTGAAAAGGGACAGTAAGTAGGCTAGTGTGGTCAGCAGTGCTCAAGAAAGTCCAGAAAGGCCAGATGGGGCAGGATAAAATGCCAAAGCCGAGAACTTTGTCTTTTATCACAGAGGTAACAGGGAGCCACATAAGGTCCTTGAGGAACTGGGAGAGGTGGCAGAGTGACTTTGTCAGATTGGTGCTTTTTAAAACTTTTATCCAATTGTCCAAAATAAATATTTGAAACATCACTGTCACCTTTGATTCTACCTCATCTTTATCCCTTATATCAAATGTTGCCCTCATTGCTTCATAATATCTTTCAGATTTCCCTCTCTTCTCTTTTTCTGATACTACCATGCTAATGCAAGCACTGCCTGCCTAGAGCATTATAGCTAGTTTACAAGTCCCTGCCACTCCCAAGGCACATTGCATACCTCTTCCAGGGCCATCACACTTTCTCGTCAGTTATTCCCCTGTTCAACAGCCCACAGTGATCAAAAGGAAACAGAAGGGGTAGGGCTGGAAGACCTTGGAGGTCCCTGTTGCCAACATCTGTGGTATTTCAATGGATTCCCCTCCACACCGTCTCGTCTGGTCCAGTTCTTGTTTATCTTTCTATAGGTCATTTAGAGCTGGAAAGGACCTTTGAGGCCATCTAGTTTAACCCCCTCATTTTGCCCCATAGGGAAAATGACCTGCCCAAGGCCACAAAGTAGTGGATATCAGAGATGGGATTTAAACCTAGATCATCTGACTCTAGAGCCAGAACTCTTTCCTCTGTTCTAGATTGATGGATTGTCAATAAATAGTAACCAATCTATTGATACTTAATGGGCTGGTTTGGCATTGTCTCTCCAGGCTGGAGGAGAATTATGAGATTGCAGAAGGTGTCTGCATTCCACGGAGTGCTCTTTATATGCACTACTTAGATTTCTGTGAGAAAAATGACACCCAACCTGTTAACGCTGCCAGCTTCGGGAAGGTAAGTCCAAAAACCCAACAACATCTGCTCTGTGTGTGTGTGTATGTGTGTGGGTGTGTGTGTGTGTGTGTGTGTGTGTGTGTGTGTGTGTATTTCACTCTATGGGAAGCTAATGGTGGCTATTAAAGTTTGAAGTTAGGTCACTAATACATATATAAATGGAAACCTGGTTGATTTCATAGCTCAAAGTCTTTAGACATCAATACTCCAGTTTCCCAGTGGAACTCATCAATTTGGAAATTCCTCCCAACGATGCAGATCACCCCTCCACTCCTACCCATCCTAAGCAACTTGCCCACATCCTCTAATAAATTCACCACAGGGGTCTGTCCCATGTCCTGGATATCTTCCTCATGTCCTTTTAACATTGCATGATTATCAATGGCGCCCGCAGGCTGTCTTGTGTGTTGTCCATTGCTTTATTGACTAGCCCATCGTTTTTTTTCTGGCTATGTCTTTCTCTAAGGGTATCTTTGATATCATTCTATCTTCCTGATTGCTTGTTTGCAATGTATCGAATCCTGACTGTCCCCACCCCACTCCTGTCCATTGCTGAGTGGGTGATCCTCAACCTATATTCTTCAGACACTTTAGTATTCCAAGACCTGCAGCCATTATATATAATATATAAATATTATATATTTAAAATATATATTGAACTCAGAGGGACCAGAGTTCAAATCCAGCCATCAGCAAAACTAGAAAAATTCCATCTCCCCCTTATCCCACCCCTGGAGTTAGGTTTCAGAGCTGATGCTTCTGGGTGCCATTCATGATGGGGCTAGAAGACTGATTGCTGGCCAGTCAACTCTTTAGGTCAATATTAATGAAGTCATTGTCATTTCTTTTAGAGAGAGAGGTTCTATTGAGCATTCTGGTAGACAATCTAAGGGAAATTATCATAATGTTCCTTTAAAGCAGGGACTCTTCACCTTTTTTTGTATACTATGTCCCTTTGGCAGTCAATCTAGGGAAGCCTATGGACCCCACCTCTGAATCATGTTTTTAAATATATAAAATACAGTACATAGGATTACAAAAGAAACCAATTTCATTGCTTTAAAACCTAATTTACTAATTTACTAGGTATTTCAGCACTTCAGGAATCTCTAATCCTTCCATATGGGTAGTAATCTATCTACCATTGTAGGTCACCGCCCCTCTATGGCTTAGGAGATGGTCTTTAAGAGTTGCCAGTATGGAAAAATCCAGTATCCTTGAGTGATGGGCCTCTTTAAACTTAGCTAGGCTGGTCCTAGGACACAGGGTCCATCCTTGGGCCCTTACCTAAAGCTCTTCTAGGTTGAGGGAAACTTCTGAAGCTTCAGCTCTTCAATCTCGTCTTTGATAATCCAAAGTTTCCCACTCCTACCCCCCATTCATGGTGAGGCACCCAAGCAGAACCTCAATGGAAGAAATATCTAGACAAGATATTGATAGAGAATTCTAAGCTGGAAGGGACCCTAGAGGCCATCAAGTTCAAACCTCTTATTTACCGATGAGGAAACTGAGCCCCAGAGATAAGAAAGGACTTGCCCAAGGCAACATAGAGAATAAGTAGCAAAGCTGGATTTGAACCCAGGTCCTCTGATGTTATTGTTGTTCAGTCCTTTCAGTCGTGTCTGACTCCTCATGGCCCCATTTGCAGTTTTCTTGGCAAAGATACTGGAGTGGTTGGTCATTTCCTTCTCAACACTTGTTAATTAGCCCTGATTAATTGACAGTTCTCAATATTTTCCTATTAATTGGAGGAAGCATCAATTAGTGCCACAAGCCACAGGATCATTGGATTTTGAGTTGGAAAGGCCCTTGGAAATTATCTAGTCCTACCTACTACTAGAAAAAAGCTCAGGCTTAGTGACCAAGATTAAAGAGATCAAGAAGTAGGGGGCTGGGATTAAAACCAAGGTCTCCTGCCTCCTCAGAGTTCAGTGTGTTTTCTGGTCTTTGTCCAAACATCTCGACCTGTATGTAGATGCGTGTCAGATGTATTGAAGAAGGAGGAGGCTGGAGGCAGGGAGACCGATCAGGAGGCTATTACAGTGGTCTGGATCAGAGGTGTCAAACACGGGGCCGTGGGCCCCATTACAGGGCGCATCTGAGTGCCTCCACCAGATTAAAATGTAACTGGGAAATATTTAGCAAAATAAAGACCAATAGGACATAGATAATGTTCATAGGGAGATTTCTAAGTCAGTCCCCACAGGGATCCTATCTATGGTTTAATGTCCCTATTTCTATGTGAGTTTGACTTCCCTGGTGTAGGGTATCTTGGTGGGGGTGGGGAGGATCCAGATACGTGATGTCATGGATATAGGGAATTGTCTTGGTAAGGAGACTCCCTCTATACCAATGCAGATTAGCATTATTTGGGGCCCTGAATGCATGGACAAATTAATGAAAGAATGAAAAACATGTATTCAGCACTTAATATATGCCCAACACTGTGCTAAGTGTTAGAGACATAAATTTAAAAAGCATTCAATCAATCAACAAACATTTATTAAATACCAGCTGTATGCTAGGCGCTATGCTAAGTACTGGTAATATAAAAACAGTCCATGCCTTCAAGGAGCTGACATTCTTCTACTGGTCCTAGCATTTAGTAAGTGTTTAATAAATGTTTTTTTTTACTGGTTGACTGACTTTCTAATGGGGAAGCAGTAGCCAAGGAGGGGTACTTTGGTTGAAAGGCAAGCAGAATGAGAAGTAGGGATTTGGGGGAGTAGATTCATATGTCCCATCCAGGAACAATGGCAGAGCTGATTAGATCATTTGATCCCCAAGGGGCTAAGGATTTCAGAGACAAGCAGTCAATATGTGTTGGAGGCAAGACTTGAATCCATGGTCTTCCCAACTTCAAGGTCAACACTCCATCCACTCCTAGCACTGCCTCATTTGCAACAGCTAGGTGGAGAATGCCAAGCCAGAGGGCCTGAGACTGGTTCCAGTCTTCTTTCCAGTGGCTCCTAGCTGCCTTCAACAAATACAGAGCTCTAGGTGGAAGTCTTTGCCAATACTCAGGGATGCCCTGGAAATCGGGCTGGCTTTCCAAGAGCAGAATACAGAAGGTGCTGACAGAAAGTTTCCAAATGGAGCCTGTTGAATCAAACTCCCAGGCCCATTTACCCTTCTTGGGGGTGTCTCATTCTATGCAGCTGTCATCTCTTTCAGAGAAAGGGCTTAGTTGTTCTGGGAAACCTTCTGGAATAATGGTAGACAGACCCCCTTTGAGCAGATCTCTGTGGCTTTATGATTCATCTCTGAACTTTTAACTGTGGGGCGCCATTTTTTTCTTAAGTTTTAGGGAAAAGAATTGGACTGGTGATAGTTTTTTTACAGCAAACTTGAGAAGTCATTGATAGGGAGAAATGAGTAGCCATGAAGCTCTGGCTTTTGGGAGTTAATAAGAGTATTAATATAGATTAATAATAAGAAAAATATTGATAATAATAGCTCACATTATCATAGCACAAAAATATTATATCCATTATGTAAATTTCCTATTTCTTTTGAGGGTATCTCTGTCCTTCCCAACCTGGAAACCATCCTTGACTCTAAGTAATAGTTAGCATTTATGTGTTTAGCGCTTTATATATATTATCTCATTTGTTCCTCATAACATCTCTAAGTGGTAGGAGCTGTTATTATCCTCTTTTTACATATGAGGCAAATAGAAATTAAGTGACTTGCCCAGGGTCACACAGCTAGTAAATGTCTGTGGTTGAATTTGAATTCAAGTCTCCTGGGCTCCATTTTATTCTTAGCATCTGCTAGCTGCTACTTCTTATAAAACAACCAGTGGTTAGTCAGTATCTGAGGTAGAATTTGAATTCAGGTCTTCCTAACGCCAGGCTAGGCTCTATTCAGTCTGGCGCCACCCGGCTGCCGCCGCTGTAGGCAAATTGCAGAGAAATCTGAAACTTGGGACCCAGTTTCCAGTTTGCTAACGGACATCGGAATGGCTTGCTTCCACTTTTGAAGGATAGAGTGCTGGTAACTCGGCTACTGTTTCTAGGGCTGAGAATTCAGCTGTTATTTGTTCATTATGACAGAATTTGTGGTTTGGAGGCAGAGGCCTGAGTTCATCCTGCTCCGCTACATGTCATTTGTTGTTCTTTGGGTCTCTGAAAGAGCAGGGGGTAGGAGTAGTGGCCTCAGAGGTCCCTTCCAGCTCCCAACCGATGATGGAGGCTCAAGTCCTAGGAAATGTTCTCAACTCCCCGGGCTGGCAAGCTCTTCTTACGAAGGCGTACTCTTTTTTTACTTAATTGCTCACAGCTTCAGTTTTTTCATCTGTAAAGTGGGGAGAGTCATGGCGCCTGTATCCCAGGGTTGTTGTATCAAAGGAGATAATGCTTGGACAATGTGTTTGCAAACCTTCAATTGCTGTCTAAATGCTGGCCACTGTTTTGTCTTATTTTTCCTTGTGATTATTTGATCCTGGCTTGATCAGGCAAGAGAGTAGAGACCTGGTTTAAACTCTTTACTTCGACCGGAAAAGTAACCCTACAGCCTGGGCTCAGCCTGCCAACGGTGGACCTGTGACATCCTCAGGATCCTTGGTCTGGATCAGGAAGGCACCAGTGAGCCCAACCCTGTCCTTTTACAGATGAGGAAACCAAGGCACAGAGAGGTTTAGTAACTTTCACAGGCCCTCACAGCTAGTATGTTTCTGGCACAGGATTTGAACTCATGTCTTCCCAACCCCAAGTCCAGGTTTTAAAGGGCTTTAACTGCCCCAAAGAGGCATTTGCATTTGATCCTTGAGGCTGGAGGAAGCCGCTGGACTTGCTTGAGCTGGACAGTAACACGGCGAGATCCATGCTTTAGGGATCTGGGTTTGCACGAGCTCAGAACTGCCCAGCCTGACGTTTTTAGCATCATATGAAAGCGCTTTATTCCTATTTGAAAGAAAAGATTAGTGTTTAACTTTCAGACCTTGACAGGAATTAATCCTAAAAGGCATTTTTTTCCCTCCTCTGTGATACTGGAACCTT